CAATAGGTTTCGGAGTGCTGGGACCTGAAGAAGAAGTTTGAGGACACAGCAACCTCGACGATGTCCCCTTCTGGGGCATCTACTAACAATTAGCAGGATACCGGCTGGATCAAAGGTGCCTGCTAACTCATCTACTGCTCTCAGCGGAGATAAAGTAAATTTGTCATTTGGAAGGTGTGACGGACGACGGAATGTGTGAGGAGCACATTGACTGGGTCCATGGAGGAATCTTCTGTTCTTTCGGAGTTGTTTTGATTTTCTTGATTTTTCGTTTCAGTTTAATCAGCTGCACTTCAAGTAGCGATTCACGAGGTTGGAACGAGTTAGGCTGTAGGAAAGATTACAGGGAACTTTGCCGGCTCCGCCTGTCCTTGACCCAATTTGGAAAACATAGCTTTAGCTTAGGACTAAATAAACAAAACAAAACAAAAACAATATCAAAGAAAGGTACAGAAAAGATGACTCAATTTACAAGAAGAGCACTCTTGCCTCATATTTCATTTGCAAGCATCACTTCAAAGTTATGGCGGCTTTTTCTTCACCCCAAGTTAACCCTCATCCGTGAATACCCATCCAAGGGAACATCTCAAAAACCCTGAGTTATCCAGACATGCCTCCATCATCTTTCAACATTTCTCCGCGCGAAACATGATCTGAGATGTCTCCTTCTGTTGTGATATATAATATGGATGGGCGTGTGTAAGCAATGAGACATTACGTGAACTAAACCAAGTGTGGCTAGCAAGGCACGGCGAGGGATTAGCCGAGGCTCGTGCGTATGGTATTAGGAACACTTCTTTTGTAGAGATAGATAGGGCCGCTTCATCCCTTTTACAACACATATATGTACATATAGATTCTAATTAATTTAATCTCCACACCTTGCTCTACCCTCAGCTCCGCAGACTATTAAGCTCCAAACTCCAAGACGTCGTACATAACCTTATAACCATAACACCTTCCCAAGTGGAGTAGGTACCCAGGCTACTCAGACTATACCGGAGCACACCACCAGGAGGCGGACCGCAGCACCTCCCATCGTTGGCTTGTTTTTATAGTGTCAGCTGCACTCTCGCAAGCGAAGTCTTGGCGCGCACGAAGCTCAATTCATAAAACTGCTTCCCAAGATTCGGAATTTCACGCCCTTCGAGGTTATATCCTTCCTCTGCATCAGCTTGTGAACTTATCGTGAACCCTCTCACGTCCATCTCAAAGAACTGTCTCCCAGATCTGTGCGCCACACTTTGCTTCCTCCGTCGGGTATAAATATCGGCGTAGGCATGTATTTGGTGGTCAACTGAGACCAGAGAAGGTCGAAGTGAGGTGTGGTCATTGGGATGAGGATGTACTAGGTCGTACTTGTAAACTTGATGAGACTTAGGTAGGCGTCAAACTTGTTGGGAGCGGAAAAACGACGTGGTGGAGTAATTTTAATTTTTGCCTCATGGGCCAACTTCTTTGATATTGTGAAATTTGACTGAACTTGGCTCTGGCAGAATGTTTCACTCCCAGGTTCGTAGATGACACCGCGTTCAGGTGTTCTGTCTTGCCCTCCCTCTGGATGCATTGTACACATTGAGAAAAGTGATTTCATTCACTGCCACCCAGCAATTGTCACCAGTCAGCTTAGCGCAGGGGAAGAGTTGCCTCGCTGATATCGTCCTATCATCTTTCCGGGTTTGGGTCACAGCCCTTGGCCTGACCTTTTCGCCACCATGAGGTAGATGGCAAGCACCGGTCATGTGTCATAGCCAGATAGCTGAGTACACATTATTTATTTATTTATAATACTTAACTTCGTGCCCGCGCACAGCACGTGAGCTCCTCACGTGCCGGTTAGCTCAGTCTAAATAAAATTACCCGACGTGCTGGCGCCTGAACAAACCAAACTAAGCAAATGAAAGCCAGGATCTCATCATCCTGCACTTGAAGATTAAATTATACATGGTTACCGGTCTCCCTTCAACTCTCATTTATACAGATGGTATTGAACGAAGAATAGATTAATTAAACAATATGGAGGAGGGAACTTAGATGAATCACATGATTCCCTTTTGGTCAGACTTGTCGTGCTTTTCCAAAGAAATTTGTGACACACACCCAGCTATTAAATGCGTGAACTCCCTCCGCGGAAGCGAGAGCCCAAGATATGCTGGGACTAGGATTCTGTGCTCTGTGGAGCTGTGCCTGGTATTACCCGAGGTGGCAATAGAAAAAGTGGTTTGGGGACTCTTCTTCTCCGCATGAGCAGGTTAGAATGGCGTTTTCGTGCTGAAACCGCCGGTGGAGTACACATTAAATAATTTAAAAAAAAGGTATTAGCCAAGATAACCACGTGATACTCATCATGCACGGACTTTTATATATCTGTGCTACTCAGTAGACCTAGTTGATGATGGACTTTCTTATATATACAACTATCTAAATACAACATACTTCCAACACCTTTTCAATTCTTGACGATAGAAGGCGTTGTTGTTCGCCTCCTAGTAGTCATCTCCTCAAGTGGGACTCCAAGTAGCTTGGACGCTAATCTCACACGAGAAAGGGAGGATTGTGAAGCCATACCTCGTGTTGTGGCTTTCTACAAGATAGCAAAGGCATCTTAGGGTAGGCAAAGGTCTTGAGTGGTATCAAATAATACACCCACTACATGAAAGGTCCAAATTTCAAACTGAGTTATCTTCGTATATAGCCGCCGGGGAAGATCCAGCCTTCTCCGAACAATATCCATATTTACGATCAACTTTAAAGCTATTTAGATAGTTTTAGGCTGTCCTTCATAGTCATAGAATCAGTAGGGACATAAATAAAATTCTATTCTATTCTTTTCTATTCTAGCCTTCTCTTCGTCATGCTGTACGAGTGCCTGTTCCTGTCACGAATAAGAATATATCTACCTATTTAGCCTGTATAGATACTATACTTTCTCCCTCCGATACATTACGGTGAAAAATACCACAGCATACGGCTAGCTGTTAAATGCTTTTACAGGATTAGGCTGTTATTAATAACGATGGTGTTAGCTACATTTACACGAGTTTGACCTATCTTGGAAACCCGGTTCAAATTCGCTTTTTGCGCTTGGAAGTATTGTGAAGAAAAAACTATTGATATACATATAATGGCTTGAGGACTTGTCATAGCTATATAGCTGAATATAATATGAATTATTAAGGAAATAATGACCCCTCAGTCATTGAGGTTGTAGAGCGCATTGATTCAAGTAACTACCGAAGTGGAACTAAGTACAGAATTTGTAGTCACGTGTGTATCGACAATGTGGCCTACCCGATAACCCCAATTATTATAAATTCTAACATGAATTAAATAGAAAAGCATAAGAAAAGCATAATACATTATTCGTCTATTAAAAACATCAGCTGTTGTCCCTGAATGATCCAGTCCTGTAGAGTCAATACTAATGGCCTAGACTGGTACACGGAAAGATACAGGTAACCTGTCCCCCCTGATGCAAAAAAAAAATCTGTCCACCCTGCTTCTCGTTGGATACCGGAAGGTCATTATCACGTGAGGAGATCTTCCTCAACTCAAAGCTGCTCGCACACTTTTTCCCCAACTAGTAACCATCAACAACCAGGAAAATATGTGACTCATTTACAGTTTGTTTGTATTAGTGTTATGTTTTCATGTTTTTAACATGAAATTTTTATATCTTTTATTTCTGCAAGATTGTAAATTCCTCTGCTTCCATGCAAAGTTAGCTGCCTTATCCATAATTATAGTCTTTATCGTTTTATGGACGATTCCTTGAGAATTACCTTGAGTCAGTCAGGTAGCCCTGAACTCTTTGAAATTCAAATTTTGAGAAAGGTCCAAATGGACCGCCGCGAGTACCCGTATGAAAATTTTTACGATAGCATACTAGCGGCTATATTTCTCGGATGGCGTCTACAGGATACCAAGTTAAACGGATAGTGGCGATTCGGTGAGCGCCCGAGCCCTTAACCAAGTACCTATGACTGCAGCCAGCCGAGATGACATCAAACTTTTCTACCTGCTATCGGAATCTCATCGCAAGTAAATGTCACGAGCAATGTGATACAAAATGAAATAGTATAATTTTCTTACAGAAAAAATATTTTTCCGAAAAAACTCCCATCTTGACGGAACAGATAAATTCCTAACTTCAGCTTCGCATGGGGAATTTACACTGTTCTTTATTCTACTCTCAAACAAGTGGGGAAATTTTATTCTGTTACTTCTAGCTATTCGAGCGGGGAATAGTTCTCATTATCATACCAGAAATTACAGCAAGTGCCATTTATTGACATGGTCAACTAGTTTGTGGGGCCAAGTAAAGGAATAATCAAGAAATACCATGTGGAATATGCGTAAGCAAATAAGATCTATTCTCTTATTCTGACTACATGTCATATTATTACCCTTTAGCGGTTTCCAGGGCAAAAGTTTGTCATAATATATCTGCTTGGGGCCCTCATTGACCTGGCTCAAGACATTGAATTGAACCGGTTTCAGGGACCTGGCCCTTCGAGCTTCAGTGTCATTGATGGTCATGGCGTCATAATTCTCGTGACGAAATTTCCTGACAGCACAAATGATGACGGCGATGATGATAATTATGGCCTAGATATCGGAAATGTCTTCATATTGCCACTTCCCTTCTTGTGAGATCCTAGATTGTGACTTCGTCTCTCCTTCTAATCCCCTATCACTCAAAACGAACAAGAAAAGTGAGACGGACCTCAGCCCCCGCTACTTTTACCAATCGGACCTTCCGTTACTTTTCCTCTATGCTGCAAGTTAAAGATGTAGAGAATTATAGGCTCTTGAGAAAAAGTTTAAGATAACAACCGAACTTGCATTTCGATATAAGTTTCCTTAATCTCGTTCCTAGCATCCGTTTTCCTCATCATATCCTGCCCCGATATTGGCTCTAACGCCCGCTTTATCATCACACTCTTTTATTGCATCCCATCGACTCGAGTCTTTCCTACCACCATATTATCATTATCATCATGTCAAAAGAATCTATCCAGATGCCCATTCGATTGCGTAGTAGCTTTCTAGCTGTCTTTGGTCTATCGATTTTTATCGCAGCCTCTTCACTTGAGTAGGTCGACACTTATGGGTACCTACCAGCTGTTACAGGCTTTATGAAAGTTTTTATCTGCATGCTAATAATTACGATTAGTGACCAAGCTTTTGGTCATGTAAGTCAAACTATTGAGTATGTTTTCCTAAAAAATTATTTCCGTCTGTTTTGGATTACCTATATAAACTACCTGGGATCTACCAATACAAAATATAGCCTTATTGCATCTGCCAAAATAAAATTTCAGGATCCATACGATACTCAAGTGATAGAGAGAACTCACAAACCAAGATTCAAGGCAGACGAGACAACCATAGAAGCAACAGTAAATAAAATATACTCTCAATATTTATGGCAGTATATGTCTCAATTTTCTCCAAAATCTGGAGAATTTTAATTGAGTGAAGCATTTGTATCCTGATTAATTTTGCGCATAACTTTAGGAATTATTATTTTACCCATAATTGTAAAAGCTGGGCTATCTCACGCTTCGACGAGATCTTTTTAAAGCTGAGACCAAACTTTACGGTTCATTCAATTGCAGATCTCTAACTTATCAAGTCATCCTATCAAATAATTTCAGCCCAATTGGCCACAGTTAGCTTTTGGTACAATCTCACTAACATTTCTCTCAATAGTTTTGAAAACACTCTTACGACTGCAACTAAACAAAGCCCCTCTGGCTCGTTTATATCGGCTATTCCTACTTTATGTACCGAGAAGGCTAATTTTGTATTAAAGGTAACACGGTTGTTACTCGCGAAGTAGAAAACTAACAAAGACTTTAGTTTGACGACATTCCTCCACTTGCTATTGGAAATCATTCAGCTGATGATGTTCAACCAATGCCAGTCTTCAACCCGTATCATCGCTTCATATTCTCGAATGGATTTACTGTCGTTCCACCACCGTCTGATCCTTACTTACCATCATCGAGGCCACTGTTACTAGAATTTATCCCTAGATTCGATTTGACTAACAATAGTTCCACTGTTACATTCACTACCCCAGAGGATGTAATCTCCGGGGATATTAGAAGCGGTGATCATGGCCGGACTGGATGCTTTCGCTTTAATACTCATGGTGCCTTTTTTGGCTGCGATTCGAAAGGCCCGGATTGCGATTTTTCTTTCACGGGCTTTCGCTTCAATAGAGAATCACAGGAATCCATCGAGGTTGTCAGTCAGCGAAGAAGCATAACTGCTTGTCCGTCCCTAATCAATTGTGAATTACTACCAATTGAGCTAGGAGATGCTTTTGAAGATTTAGATACCCTCCGGATCAATGTGACGGTTGCAGGACAGCCAAAGATTTGGTGGATGGATGACTTATCGCTTAGTTGGAAGAATGATACATGTGCAGCTGGCCTTTGTCGTCTTCGCACACGCATCCATTGATCAATAAAGTTGATACAAATTTTTGAAGACGTCAGAGTACAAATTCAGCGTCAGTGGCAAATAAGTTCAAAATCTTAAAAGTTTTCAACTCGATATTTCCAATGACATTGAACAAAATTTTCTGTCCAACTACGAGTTTAGTCCGGCCTTATCTCAAATTCCGGGAGTAGGATAATTACGAGAAGCATTAAGGAAGGGATTGGAACAATGTTTGTATTTTCTTGCCCACAACAAGATACCTCCATAAAGGTCTATCATAGGTACTATGGGCGCAGGGTAGTTTAACCGGTTCTGATTTATGACTTTATAAATGCTTCTTTCTCCAATTGTAGGCGGGATAATTGACCTAGTAGTAGGGTATTCTTCTGAATTCTGACTTGTGCAGAGGGTAGTGATACAATAGGTTGATCACGAAGCTAGTTTAAACAATAAATTTATCTGTTTCTATTGATACGGCAAAGTATTGTATGAGTCAAAACTACTACATTGTAACATGGAAATTCAATAATGATTCAAATACTGGTATATCCGGCCCGCACAGGTGACACGCTCTCATTTTCAAGGGCTAAGTCTGTCTGACCTAATTAGGATTTGCAAAAACCAAGTGAAGCATGATTCTGGACGAAGATTACGACAATTGGGTCAGATTGGATTAGATTGGGTTATATTTACATTGTAGTTCTCTCTGACTCAATGACTATGAAGGACTTCTAGAATCTAAATTAAAGAGTCTAGCTAAATTTGAGAATTTTTCATAATTAACTTAACCTAGAATCTTATAGACAATGAGGATCAGGCCATAGCTACAACAATTTCAGAGTCAATAATTACAGACCAGTTAGAAAATTTAAAATTGTGATAAAAAGCGTTTAAATCTCGCCTTCTAATTAATACGTGACTGGGATCCATGTGAATTTATTATCCGATTGAGTTGTAAGGTATATTTATACTATTGTGACAATTAACCAAGGTTAAAGTACCGCTGACACATTCGTATGGCAAGAGAAGAAATACTTATTCAACTAGGGCTAGAATTGTTTCTTTTGAAGTACCGGACCTAGAAATAATCTGCTCAGCGAGGCCATTGGACTCCTTGAATGGTGCTAGAGTACGTGATTAATCCAGCTAACATGGCAGTGACTATCACGCGACGCGATGACTAACACGTTATGAAAGCTTAGCAACAAGCGGCACGACCTTCCGTGATGTGAACAAGTATTTTTTTGATGGCACCTGATGCTAGCTCGACGCCAGTGTTAATCTCAATTCCGGTTTACTTCACCCTAGAAGAGCATTAAAGTACTTCGAACGACTCCCCTGCCATTGCTTGGACCTGCTTTCTCGCTCGTGCAGAGGGTAATGCCAAAGATAACGATAGAAGTTAGTGTCCTGAGCTTTTGTGGAAATGCTTTTGAGAATTCTTTTTTCGCCAACATGGGCAGAGTTCTCGCAGGACTATTAGAGGTGGGTTTAGGCCATCAAGTCTCCTTGCTCACCATCTCAACGGAAACTAGTGCCAAGCGACTTGCTTCAAAGTCAAGCCACTGTCTACACTAGAGGTTGGCCTCATAGTGAAGGAGTCGAGCGTTGACCCCGTGATATTCAGATATTCGACTCATCGCGTAACGAGATACTCGCGGCCGCGACCAACTAGCGCAGCGCGTAAAAAGTGCAAGAAATATCTTGTTTAAGTGGGCAAGCTGAGCTCGTGCATATCGGGTATCAGAAGCTGCATCCTACTCGTGCTCTTTGGAGTAGCTGATACGTGGAAAGAAGCTGGGCTATGCAATGGACGTAGGATCTGAAGAAACACTTCCAAGGTTCTTGCAGTTACATGATAAATACATACAGGGGATAAATTTCTTAGGTTCTTGTTATCAATCATGCATGGGTTAAACCGTAGCCTGCTCGCTCCTCCCCAGTAATGCTGAGCTAGATTTTTAAAACAAAGAGTTAGATGTAATATTTACAGCCGTACATGATACAATCATACCCTGCGGAACTTTTTGAACTCACGCATTTTTCTACAACCGAGTCTTTAAATGCCCTGCGGGATGGAATTTGGTGGCTAAATTACCTCACCAGTACGGTGGCCTTAAGCCAGCCAAATTAGATGTGATAGAGGCATCACTATCTTTCTTCCTCTGTCCAGTCAACTAATTCTCATGTCAGTATTACCGAAACCACCGCCTATCTCCTCCCTTCCAGCTGAGATCTTCACTCACTTCAAGTTGCACGTGCCTATGGATGTGCACTAGCCAATCCACATAGCTATGTGCCTCATTATTTCGATCCTCGACCAACATGCGAGCAAATTCATACTCTGCGCCGTCAAGCCCTTGCCGTGCAAGCTGGATTGTGAGAGCCTTGCTCCCACGCATTGAGCGGAGATATTCAAGAATATTTCGTACTTGTGCACTGAGGTGTGTCGGCAGGATTGGGAGTGATGAGATTAGAGAATCAAGAGCCTTGAGAGAATCCATGCCTTCTCCAAAAAGATCGGTGATAAAGTTCGGAGAAATTTGAGCATGAATCCATAAGTAACAGTTTTGGCCGTTGTCGATAAGGTAAGCTCCGCCTTCCTCAACTCGAGCGAAAGAATTTCGTATTGAAGCTGGCATGCGTAAGTGGCCTTGGTCATCAGGAAAGCCATCCTCTGGAGCAAGATTGTGTATGGGTATCATACGGGGATAGAGATAGAGAGAGAGTTCCAAAGCACCCATTGACTTTATCATACGCATGCTGTGTACGCGGTGATCCGAAGGCTCTTGACCGCCTTTTAAAGCCCGAGTCTTGATCAAACTAAGGATGTACATACTCAACTCCTTCAGATTTTCCGGTATCACTAGCTGACCAGGGGGGTGCGACCCTGAGAAGTTCTTGCGGTAGCTTGCAAGAATATCAACATTTTTTTCACTGAGAGCCCCTCGTATATCTTTTAATGAGTTCGAGACAATTTTAGCGACTGCTTCTTTGGCAATTAGAGCGTAAACGGCGTCTTGGTCGACATATCTCATGCAATCTTTTGCGTTGTCGCTGACGCTTGCTATCACATTCGAGCACCTTACCCGCCGCTCACCTGATGACGTAGTGTATAGCAGTGCGCTTTGAAAGTGAGCATCAAGTTTCGCATCAAGCTTGCCATCGTATTTAAACATGACTCCTATCGCTTTGTCTCTATCTATGACACCAAATTCAATATCGCTCCTAAAGGCATTTCCATGAAAATTGCCTGCGTATGACGATACTTGGAGACCCGTAGAACAGCGGACTTTCATTAGTACTTGGTATCCAGTTTCACGTGTCACTGTATGCACAACCTCTTGCACTAATTTTTCGGTATCTCGCGGGAATACAAAATTTGGATAATAAAATGTTTCACCCCCAGTGCTGGCAGAAATGTGACCTGAACGGGTTAGATATAAGAGAAAAGTAAAGAGTAGACTCACCAATAGTGGCAATGTCCAGATAGCCACCTCTGGGCGCGGCCAAGAAGAAATCAGCTCCAATACCTGACTGAACCATTTTTTCTGATATCTTTTTCCATCCAGGATGTTCAGTAGAAAATAGGTTCTTTTCGGCGTCCCCAATGTTTTGCTTACCGTCATCACGAAGAAATAGCCGCCCAGGACCCCATGTTGGTAGTGACGCCAGTGAACATACGATTTTACCACCGGTCTTTTCCAATGCAGCTAGAGCAGCATTTAAAGTCGGCAATAATGCAGGTTCTGGGTTTTTTACTTGGGAGAATAAAGCTGGAAGCTGGGTTAACAATGTGGTGATATTTTCCCTGTCACTGGTTATAATTGACATCCAAGAAATACACAAGTACCTACTTGGAATCATACGGATTTACGAATAATCCATCATTTAATGGAACAAACGGTTCGTCAATGTCTGGCATCACCAACATTTGGGCTTCTTCAAGTACAGACTCATTCAGGTTAGTCCAAATATTAGAAGATCAGGGCTATGACCTACACTAATATTGTAAAAATGGACGTCTTTGTCAAACGTGATAAATCCCACTTTTGAGCCTGCGGGTATATTTCGATTGGTGGTTTGATCTTCAGTTTCTTTTCTGTCTCCGCCATAAAGGGCGGCTATAATTCCTTTACAAAATGATTCTAAATAACCTTTGTTAAATGCCTCCTGGCTCACATCTATCACGAATAGCCAATGCATGCCAACAGGTTCTTTAGACCAGTACTCTTTTGGAACAAGAAACTCTACAGTACCACGCATTAGCTCAGGTCTCTGTTCCCTATCGACTCGTGCTCCTTGGGGCGTCAAGGCACAAAAGTACTCGGATGGAACATCGTTTGCATAGTTGCACATATTGCAGATAAATTTATTTCCCCCAGACCTAAACACCATGAAGGGGTTGATATATGCGCGACATCTTTGACACCTTGGAGGTCCAGTGTCTCCGAAGTCCAAAACTGGCACTTCTAACTCCCCTGGCTGCAAAGGTGCCAGTGGCTGTAGGAGTAGTCCAAGAGGTAAGTATGTAGATTGAAGTGCTTCAAGTGTCGAGGGTATACTGTTCATTGTAAGGCGTGTAAATTTAGGGGATGCATTACCCTGGTCGAGAGCGACAAATGACACGGAAGCCGGGGGTGGAATATGGTGCTCAAAAGTTGGATATACATGATTTAAGTAGTGTCGTGAATAATATTCTCTTGATTTTGAAACACTTGGAATCTGATCAGGATCAACCTGTCCGTGTGCCGAGGTGTGTAGGTTGGCAGAATATCCACTATCCGCAGGTTTGCTAGCCCTGGAGGCAAACTCAGCTGGGGAAGCTGAAGATGACGGATTGAATATTGTGTTTGCAGGAGCGGGAAATTGCGACATTTGAGGGGTAATAGTAGGGTTGTGAAACTGTCCAGTTTGAGCCGTATAGCCAGCGTTCGTGAGGAAAGATGTACCATTAAGCGGATCATTGATTGAAGCAGAAGATCCGGTGTGCTCTACATTGTGGTATGCGTGCCTGTCTTTATTTTTCTTTTTCCTAATGGGTGCTGGATCTGATATATTCATCTGCGTCATAGACGCTGCCAAATCTGCAACTTGGTTATGGTCGGATTGGTAAGTTGTATTTTGAGGTGTTGCATATGGCGTAGGAACACCAGTTAGTGACCCATCCTGATTCTGTACTAGAGTATTACTGTCTATATTCCCTTGGTGTAAGAATGATTGGTCAGGTTGGGGCTGGTGTGGTCGGCTTTTTGAATTTCCATAGCTGGAAACACCCCGGTCTGCCGCGAATTCAGACATTTTGCAGGTTCCCTAGGTAAATCGGGTTTGTTGGGTCGAGAGGATAATTTGCTGCACCTCCGAGTTCTCCGACAGGCTAGGAGCTTGTTTACCTGGTTGTCATTGTTAAGAAATGCCCTTCGGCGCTGCGATGCGGCATTAGATGACTGTCATGACACATTTTCGATAAACGTCTCTACTCACGTGATATTTAACGCTAGCAAGTGCCCTGCTCACTTCCACGACACGTCAATCGGTCTACGCGATGGAACGAAATGGCCAACCCATGTATCACAGTATTACCCAACCAGATGTCTTGACATAGCTCGATGTGTTTTCTAAGATGTTCACTTTCTGTTCTCTGCTCGGTGCACAGAGCGAATCAGCTGCCTCACAATCACTTTTGGAGCTTGACGGGGGTGTCAAAATCTTAGTTGATGTTGGATGGGATGAGTTATTCGACGTAGCAAAACTTAAAGAGCTCGAGAAGTAAGTTTTTTAAGCGCCCGATCACCTGAGAAACATGATGCACAAACTTCTAAGGATTCTGTTGCGGATATTCATGAAATAATTGTTGTCCTCGCATACTTTGGTCTCCCAGAGGATGAAAATCACTACTTTCTTTCATTCAAATGACAATCACTGATTTCCCCAAAAGCTAATGATTACATAGACAAGTTCCTACGTTATCGATAATTCTCCTCACTCACGCAACCATTTCACACATCGGAGCTTTTGCGCATTGTTGCAAACACTTCCCTCTATTCACGCGAATACCAATATATGCAACTCTTCCCGTGATACAGCTTGGCCGTACACTCCTGCAAGATCTTTACTCTTCTTCACCATTGGCTGGTACAACTATACCGGCATCAGCACTTTCCGAAGCGTCTTATTCGTGTTCGCAAAAGTCGGTAATAAACATAGATTCTGATATACTTCTACCATCACCTACGAACGAAGAGATACAAACTTACTTTGGACTCATACATCCTCTCAAATACTCGCAACCCCAGCAGCCCCTACCATCCCCCTTGTCTCCGCCATTGAATGGATTAACTATTACCGCCTACAATGCAGGACACACTCTTGGAGGTACGATTTGGCACATTCAGCATGGACTCGAGTCAATAGTTTATGCTGTCGATTGGAATCAAGCACGTGAAAATGTCTTGGCAGGAGCGGCATGGTTCGGTGGAGCTGGTGGGGGCGGAGGCGAGATTATTGAACTACTTCGAAAACCGACTGCTTTGATTTGTAGTAGTAGAGGCTGCGAGAGGTCTGCGCTACTTGGGGGTAAGGCAAAACGAGATGAGTTACTCCTTGAGATGATTAAGTCTGCGGCCCGTAAAGGAGGAATTATTCTCATACCCACTGATTCAAGCGCCCGAGTGATGGAACTCGCATACTTACTCGAGCACGCCTGGCGAAGCGAGACAGAAGACGATAGTAGCCCTTTACAAGCTTCAAAGCTATACCTAGCAAGCAAAAATATAGGCGCAACAATGCGATACACAAGAAGTATGTTAGAATGGATGGACGAAGGAATAGTCAGGGAATTTGAAGCAAACGCCGGTACTCAACAGAAGCAAGGGGTACAAGATAATGTATCGAACGTTGGACCCTTTGATTTTAAGCATCTAAGGTTACTCGAACGGAGAGGACAAATAGACCGTGTTTTGGGAGAAACAGATAGTCTTGGAAGATCGATCAGCAAAGTTATTGTTGCCAGTGATACTTCTTTAGAATGGGGCTTTTCTAGAGAGGTTCTACGAAAGATAGCGGACGATAGTCGTAATCTGGTTATTTTAACCGAACGGGCTGGTATGCCCAATGGCGAGGATTGCAAACCTAGCTTAGCTAGAACACTCTGGTCCTGGTGGGAAGAACGTAAGGACGGGATAATTTCTGAGTCGACGAAGAGCGGAGAGGCTCTCGAACAAGTAGGCTCAGGTGGACAAGTTGTCGAAATCCGGGAGGCCAAGCGAATTGCTTTGGAGGGTAATGACCTCAATGTCTATCAACAATGGCTCGCTAATCAACGGCAACTACAAACAACTCAAACCGGGGATGCCACTTTAGAAACTAATGACGCTTCTTCGGATTCTTCCTCAGATTCAGATGAGTCAGAAACAGAGCAGCAGGGTAAAGCGCTTAACATTTCTGCGACCATGGGTCAAGTGAATCGAAAAAAAATCGGGCTTAGTGATGAGGACCTTGGTGTCAATATTTTACTGCGAAAAAAAGGAGTACACGACTATAACGTGCGAGGCAAGAAAGGGCGCGAGAAGATGTTTCCCCTCGCCATACGGAGAAAGAGGAATGATGAGTTTGGGGAGCTCATCCGACCAGAAGACTTTCTACGAGCCGAAGAACGTGATGAAACTAATGGTCAGGATGTGCGCCAACAGCCGGGAAAAAACGATACAAAAGATACTTTGGGTAAAAAACGGAAATGGAACGATGTTACAGCAGCAGGCGAGAGAGGCAATGCAAAAAACGGTAGTAAAAGACTTCATGGTAGTCGAGGCCAGCGAGAAGATTCTGAAGACTTAACTCGAGCTATCGAGGATGAAGCATCAGACGAAGAGACTGCAGAAGAGATCAATGGTCCATCCCGGCTAGTTTTTTCGACTGAACGGATATCACTCCAGGTCCGACTTGCATTTGTCGATTTTGCTGGAATGCATGACAAACGGAGCTTGCAGATGCTAATACCTCTCATCCAACCCCGAAAGTTAATTCTCATCGGTGGCTCTAGAGAGGAAACGTTAGCGCTCGCGAATGATTGTCGCAAACTTCTTGCTGCACATATCGGCACAGGACAAGAATCCGCTATTGATGTTTACTCGCCGATTCTCGGCGAGACGGTTGACGCCAGCGTGGATACCCACGCATGGGCTGTTAGACTAACAGACTCTCTCGTCAGTGGCTTGAAATGGCAGAATGTTAAAGGCTTAAGTATCGCCTCGGTGACTGCACGCCTTGACGGATCATTGTCAGAATGTATCGACGTAAAGGCCGAGGGAAGTAATAAAAAGCAAAAGCTCTTATCGACTGATGATGGAGAGAATTTGGATAACTTTAACTTGGCTGCTATTAGACCAGCGGAGATTCCAAAGCTAGACGTACTGCCATCAAACATGGCTTCAGCCGCTCGATCTGTAGCACAGCCATTACAGGTAGGGGACTTGCGCCTAGCAGATCTCCGTAAAATCATGCAGACTTCAGGTCATACGGCGGAGTTTAAGGGCGAGGGGATGCTACTCATTGATGGTACTGTGATTGTTCGGAAGACTGGGACTGGGAGAATCGAGGTTGAGAGTGTTGGCCTCCCAATGGGCCCTAGCTCTGCCGTAACAAGTATGCATCCAGGCGGAACTTTTTTTGCAGTAAAGAATAGGATTTATGAGGGCCTAGCCGTGGTCAAATAATACGGTGATATGGTGTGCTGCATCTATCAGAGAGATGCTTTTTGCAGTATTCTATAAACTGTATGTTACTCGTGCAAAAACGCTCTTCGTTTGGCCTGTATTGGATGAAACTGGCTTGCACCAGTCGGAACCAAAGCATTATTGCCGTTACATGTAACGCAGCGAGCTGCCTTGACATATTGCCTTTTGTAAATCTTGTTCCCGTCAAAAGCCATCAGTCTCACGTGGCCAAATGGCTATCTCGGACTACACCATCTACTGCAGAGCAACGTATCACGATTGCCGCTGTAACTCCGACTCTTTTCCAATAACCTACCTTGCTAGATTCCTTGAGTGTAGCAGCAAGCCGCTTTTTTATGCACCATCTTCTTCTTTCCAACGGCAGCCCTCCGAACTCTGTATAAAGGTCGGGGCATCCTGTTTCCCCTTCCACCAACGGCACTCAACCTATAATCCACTAATTCATCTAGTCATTTCCAGTCTTCAACCTTGAGCCATCAAATTTCCCATTAGATAATTTTGAATTTCTAAAATTAATCTTCATATATTTACCCTATAAATGTTAGTACTATGGATCTTTTCCTGTCTGTACCTACCTAATTCAGACCAGATATAATGGGCGGATATAACAACATTCTTGGACGAGACCCAGGGCCTCTTCCGCCTGGATTTGGCCCAAAAAACCCCGGTGAATTCAAAGCACCTACCCATAAGCCCAGTGTTAATCTTAAAATAACACGTTGTACGACGAAGCCTTGGGGAGAAGAGAGCACAATTATCGATGATAAAAGCTTTTTAAATATCACCATGTCTACCACAGACAAGCTTAGTGATTTAATGGGGGTACTCGGACTTAAGAGCCAATTTCCGACAAAACATATCTTGTTTGAAATCACAAAATCTACATCAGGGGGGTGGTGTAAAGGGATGGAATACCATACCCTTGATAGGTACCAGGGGAGGATGCTTAGGGAGCTCGGCTGGGATGAGACAAGAACAGGAAATCAGGGAGAGCGGCCTCTCGTATACCTGTGGGTATGCGAAGAATTGTATTAGGATGTGATTTTGAAAAATTTACGATTTTTTTGTTAATTTTTTGCATGGGCGCAGAAAATCGATTCTTTTTGCTGGCACAGCGAGCATGACGCAGTCATATTGGGCTATAAATCCCCTGGATCTTCTTTTATTTTCTCCTGTGGCAGCCGAGTTGAGGTTTGCATATAATGAATACGCGAGCTGTACTAGACTCCCAAGCAATTGTGGTGTCAACGTGCTACTGAACGAATTTGGAGACATATTTAGCCTATCGCTGCCGGATATTCATGTCGCGTCTCCCTGCGCATACCCGCATTCTTGCCTCAGGCTTAGAACCTAGCGATACCCGGGGGACTTCTGCAAGAGGTGTATACTGTGCGAGCCTGGACATCGACGCTGTCATAGCTCGCTCAGCGTGCTTCGATGGGCCTTGGGTGGAAATGATGAGTAATTCCAGGACCAGATCAATGTGGCCAGCATGACTGCTGATACGCCAAAATCAAGCCTGCAATAAGCCACGGGAGGGCGATTGGGGTCATTATCGACACCCGTTGCTGCACATCATGAGCATTATGCGGCTTGGGTCTAGCGAGACGGAAACGCTCGCCTATTCATGACTACATGTACTTGTGTCTTTGTCCCCACACACCGATGGTCATGAGCAAACACACTGTGAGGTCTCAGTGTCTCGAGCCGCGTCGCGATACGCTTTCAAGGGCTTGGCGAGCGAGGTACCACAACGATAGCGTCACCACACAACCACCTTCTCATACGAGAGAAATGGCCCTGGCTCACACACGCCATGGCAGAGGCTGTATAAAGTGGCATCACTCAGTCGCCAGCATCAGCGCAATCCAGCTAAAAAGGTGAGATGAGGTGAGTGGACCTGAATGATGTCGCCAACTTTTTCATGCGCGGCTTGACGCGTTGCGAAGCTCAGGCAATCCACAATTAATGGCAGAGGCGCGATCGATTACTCACGACACTCGCCCCTTAATCAGTGGAAAGCTATGGTAGTGTCCCTCTCATTCTATACGCGAGGGCGATTGTGTACATTGTGCTCTTTGCTTGGCGGCCTCAGGTTTTTCGGCAAACATGGCTGAGGGACGGGGCGACCATCTGTGGGGAATGCAGATATCCTCTTGATAGCTGTAGACCATTGGGGCTTAGTGCCACTGTGGATCCTAAACGTAGCAGGCTACGTAATGTAACATAGACTACTAAATGCGGTTAGCCTATAATTAGTAAGCTACGCACAAAGTGTAGATTTCGGAGTTGGGAGTCAGGGGGAGATTAAGACAAACTTATTAGAACTCAAGCTTAACTATGGTATTCTGCGGAACTAGCTGTAGTAGAGTCACGTGTTATATTTGTCACCATCCTGTTTCAATCGTGATCGATCGAAACCCACACCACTAGTGCACCTATCCAATTATTCAATCACCTCTCTTCTACACAGTCCCACGGCTAGTCCGCTTAAGGAACATCACTCGGGTGTTTGCAGCGATTGCTGATGCTAGGGTCATCACTCATTCGTTTCCCTTTTTGTTGAATCATCTAATATGTTTTATTGCCAGGTCCTGAAGTGGTTCCAGGCCTAGCTAGCTGTGCCTCACTTGAAAGCCCGTGGAAGAAAATGCACATGCTTAGTTATTTCTATTGTATTTTCTCAGTCTAAGGTTATATAGGAGAAATAGGTCCAGTCTGCTTACAGGCTATGGAGACGTATCTAGAAGCATATCCTCCTTATGTCACCCCTATACTTCCCCTCAAACAGTACCACCCCTCACAAGTCCTCTTTCGATCATACACTTAGAAGAGCCTTTTGCCCTTCATTGTGTCGGAAAATTCGACTCTCGAATTCGTGACTCACCCGTTATCTATTTCGTCTGAGGTTCCCGACAAGATCGCCTCTCTCTGCACATGTCCCGAGAGCGCTAATCGCACCTACTGTCGCATATACGTTTGGATATTTACGTACTAGAATGTACCTTGGCTCATCATGGTAGATGAGAGGTGGCAGGTCATCACTAGGTTTGACAGGTACATGAGACTAGCGGGAATTTCTCCCTTGGATGTATATATAAGTCCAATGTTCCTATAGTTGTAAAATATCAAGTCTTATTCACTTCATAATATATATCCATAGAATATCGTACAGAGTATATTTTCCAACACTTTGCTTCCTCCGTCGGGTGTGAATATCGGTATAGGCGTGTATTTGGTAACAAGCTGAAGCCAGAGAATAGTGGAAGAGAGGTGTGATCATTGGAATGAGGATATACTAGGTCGTACTTGTAGAATTGATGAGACTTAGGTAGGAGTCAACCTCGTTGGGAGCGAAAAAACGACGTGGTGGAGTAATTTGAATCATTGCCTCGTTGGCCAACTTCTTTGATATTGTGAAATTTGACTGAACTTGGCTCTGGCAGAATATTTCACTCCCAGTATCGTAGTGGACACCACGTACAGGTGTTTAGTCTTGCCCTCCTCTGCTAGGCTCATCTACACGCGAATATGGAACTTCTAATACAGGGTATGTTAGATCTCCAAACGCCTTACCCTTTTTACTCCTATGTAAATAATAATCAGGAGGGCAAGACTAAACACCTGTACGTGGTGTCCACTACGATACTGGGAGTGAAATATTCTGCCAGAGCCAAGTTCAGTCAAATTTCACAATATCAAAGAAGTTGGCCCACGGGGCAATGATTCAAATTACTCCACCACGTCGTTTTTTCGCTCCCAACGAGGTTGACTCCTACCTAAGTCTCATCAATTCTACAAGTACGACCTAGTATATCCTCATTCCAATGATCACACCTCTCTTCCACTATTCTCTGGCTTCAGCTTGTTACCAAATACACGCCTATACCGATATTCACACCCGACGGAGGAAGCAAAGCGTGGCGCACAAATCTGGGAGATAGTTCTTTGGGATGGACGTGAGAGGGTTCAGGACAAGTTGAGAAACTAATGCAGAGGAAGGATATAATCTCGAAGGGCGTGAAATTCCGAATCTTTGGAAGGATTTTTACGAATTTATCTTCGCGCGCGCTAAGACTTCGCTTGCGAGAGTGCAGCTGGCACTGTAAACACAAGCAAACGATGGGTGGTGTTCTCCGGTGTAGTCTGAGTAGCCTGGGCACCTACTCCATTTGGGGAGGAGATGCCTCAGACCACATTTCGCGCGGAGAAAAGTAGAAAGATGATGGAGGCATGTCTGGATAACTCAGGATTTTTAGACGTTCCCCTGGGTGGGTATTCACGGATGAGGGTTAACTTGGGGTGAAGAAAAAGCCGCCATAACTCCGCAGTGGTACTTGCAAATGAAATCTGAGGCAAGAGTACTCTTAACATATATTGAGTCATCTTTTCTGTACTTTTCTTTGATATTGTGTCATAGCTAGATAGCTGCATACGCAATTAAAATCTGATGCAGAAAAAAAAAAAAAGAAGGGGCGACTGTTTGCGTAAGCGAAAATACCTCGTAGTGGTATTTGCGAATGAAATCCAGAGTACCAGAGTTTCAAATGTCAATTGAGTTATCTGACATGTACAAAGAGCACCGATCATGTGTATTAGTTAGATAGCCAAATACACAATGAAAGATATAAAAAACAAAGAAAGAAAAACTGGCACGTGCGGTTTAAGAGCAACGAGAATTATTAACCAGAGCTATTCAACTTGAATCTCTATAGCAAATTGCTGATATAGGGTGATTATCTTTATGCCCTTAGGTTTACGATAGAGACCGAGGGTGAATGATTATCAATCTCAAGTGACACTCTGGGAATTCTATAACTAACTAAGGTTTTTATTAGGATCTAATCTGCAAGCATCAGTGGTTTAGTGGTAAAATCCATCGTTGCCACTAGTGTCGATGGGCCCCGTGTTCGATTCACGGCTGATGCACACACATGCCTATGCTTTTGGAAATGGCGATAGTGATTACTTAATCTTAG